CAAATCAACATGGCGGCAACCGTGACATTCAGGAAGTTTGGTTATTATTGTGATTAGGGCTGCAACAACGAATCGATAAAATCGATAAAAATCGACTTTTAAAAGCGTTGGCAACGAATTTCATCATCGATTAGTTGTGTGGCGCGATTAATGCGTCATCCGCCGCCGCCGTCATCACTGCCACTTGACTGAAACGGGGGAAGAAAAAAAAAATACTGCAGAGCGAGTCAGCGCCGCAGGTGCAGTGTTCCCAACTCAGCGACTTTTCAGACCCCTCCAACGACTATTTTTTCAAAAAAGCGACTAGCGACAAATCTGGCGACTTTTTATGGTGTCACTGGCGGCTTTTGGAGACTTTTACGTGAAAGCATGTATCATTCCTACTCTGTCGTGGGGCGCCTCCCCCATCCCAACCCCGTTGGATGTACAGCTACATTTCTCATGTATGTTTGCATAGTTTTAACACAAACATTTATTTTTCATATTGCACCAGTACAGTTAATGAGCAACCTGTACTTGTGTGCTTGTTTGTTCTGTGTAAAATGTTTATTATGGAATAAAGAGGTTAATATAAAAAATATTTTTTGTCCGATTCATTGATTAATCGAAAAAATAATCAGCCGATTCATCGATTTTTAAAATAATCGTTAGTTGCAGCCCTAGTATAGATACCTAAAAAGTGTACTTAAGTACAGTAATGAAGTATTTGTACTTCGTTACACCTCTGGTCTAAATGTAACGTCTTTAGTGTTATGCCTGCCAGCGCAGGGCTGACAGTGTTGTTGGATGCAGGAGTTTGCCCTGCAACTGAGGGGTCGCTGGTTCAAACCCCAGCCTGTTCAATGTTATTGCCTCCTTTGGAAAACTACACATCATCGGGATTACCTCCTGAAAAACTAGGGTAGTTCATCCAATACGAGCCTAAATAGAATTTCAGCTGAGCAGGATGAGCAGACGTGGTGCCATCTGCTGGACAAACCACAGGAGAAGGGGGGACAATGAAGGCAGCTACTAAATAGAGTCTAACTGTCCTGCAGTAAAGTTAACCTCTCTGTTCTGTGTTCCGATTGGTTGGGAAGGCCTTACCGATGGCTCTGGAGACGGCGTAGGTGCCGTTAACTCGCCAGCAACCCATGTAGGTGATGCAGCCTCCGAGATCTTCTATCCTCTGTTTCTCATCCTGTGAATCGGAGAACAAAAGTTAAGTAAAGAAACATCTTCCCCTTGCGACACTATTCCGCTCGGTTAGCGTTGATGATGTCACCAGTGTGACAGAAATCAGAGAACTTGGAAGGAAGCCATGGCGTAGTCGGTGTGCTTTATTGTTTCTCTCCGTTATCTGCCTGAATCCCTTTCACCAGAGCTACTCCATGTTTATCAAATGTAAAAAAGTTGTTTCAGCCTGTTAAATCAAACACAACTGGTACGG